AAAAAAAAAAAAAGACTGTGTGCGGCCCATAAAGCCTAAACTATTCTCTGGCCCCTTACAGAAAAATTTGCCAACGTTTGCTCTAGTCTAGTCATAAAAATGACATTTCTTTTCCTTCTAAATAGTTACAGTAAATAAGTTCAGGGACTCTATGACTCATGAAAGCATATTTACAGACAACTCCTTTGAAGATTAAGATGTCAGTATTTTTTCGGCAGAAAAATAGCTCCTTCAAAATGCTAAAGGAAAACCTCCTTCATCTGTTTGCTATTTCTTGGCTTCTTCTCATCTGGTGTTTGGGAGTGCAGATTGTGGAAATAGGAGATGACAGATAAAAACAAGACGGGCACGTTACTAATTCTGTATATAAGGCCCCCAGGTCGCTGATTTGGGGCTCGTCAGAAATTAACTAACTGGTCGTGGCATAAACATGAAATTAGATCCTAAGTCTGCCAGAGCTTCAGGTTCTGAGATGACATGTGTAATGATGTCATAGAGACGCTACCCTCATATTCCGGGCAGGATGCTGTAATTAATAAGAGACAGCTACCGTGACCCAACTGAACCAACAGGAGGTTTTCAACAGCAATTGCTGGGTGTTAATCATGGTGCAAATTATTAAAGACATGGCAAGTATTTATTTGGCTTCATTGAATATCTCAAAACTGGCCCTCTTAAAAACAAATTTGATAAACGTAAGCTTATTTTTTTTTCCTCCATCCAGTAGCCTCTCGTTGCTGGTAACTGGGAGAGAGTTTTATCTTCTTGGTCTTCCTGGATTTCTGTAAGGGATGGAATTCACTGTCTAGAGAAGTAGCCAAGGATAGATGGATCAAAAAGGGTTTTCTTCCCCCCTTGATTTTAATTTCTGGCTCTGATTCCAACTGGACCCAGGCCAGGGCCTAACATATCCCTCCTGCCTCTGATCCCACGGATTCCACTTTCACTGTCCCTGGAACTTCTATGGAAGTAAGAGAGTCCACATCTTTTTTCTTATCCTAGAAACCCAGATATGCCTATGGAATGGGGTAGGAAAAATAATGATTCGGAGTGTCAGTGATTCCTTGGGTGGGTACTTTATAAAGCCACTTCCTACCCATTGTCTAAAGTCACAACAAATCTAAATACATATATAGGACAGAGATAATTCTTGATTTATGAAGAAGAAAATTATGTCTAAAAGAGAAGTTTGATTCCGAAAACCAGGACTTCAGGGGGAAAAAAAGATAAAATAAGGCTCTCTTTATTTTAGGAGACAAGGTTAAGGGCTACCGTGTTTAAGGGGCATCAGAATCCAGACCTTCTGAAGGTCCTTGCCCTCATTAGAGAAGGGCAAGAGCCGGAGCGGGAAGGGAGGGACACAAGGCCTGAGCCTCACATCTACCACCCTTCCCCCTGCCAGGTTTAGACGGGGGACGTTTTCCCTAATTGTGATTATACCTAAGATCACAAAAACAACACTGACCAGACTAAAAGAAGGCATTGTCCTACAACTTTGATATAAGTAAATGTTTTCAAATACCACATATTTGCTAATGCTTTGGGCACTTTTGAAAAATTATTTGAGGATCTCACGGAAAAGCCTTCCAACTATTCCCTGAGAATACCTCTCCTCTTTTCCCCAGAGACCTTTCCTGGGACCAGCTGCCTCCTTACCTTTATTCAATGTCACCTTCTCTTAAAGGTTGGCCTTGGCCATTTGTACTACAATTGTAATCCAAACCCCATCCTACCTTCCTCCTTCATTTTTCTTTCTTTCTTCTTTTTTTAGCAATTATCACTAAAATGCTACACATTTTACCTAACTGATCTTACCCTGAGCTTCCCTTTTAGAAAGTTAAGCTCCACAGAGACAGGGAAATTGGGGGGCATTTTTTTGCCCACAGTTGTATCCTAGCAGCTCGTGCACCTTCAGGGAGAGCCAAGTCGAGTTCACAGCTCCAACTAGGCCAACTTAGACCCAAACAGTGACCTCTGAGGAGTGAAGGGTGTTGGGAGCTTCTGAGGATGGCATCTTCCTGGTAACTTCAGAAGCAAGTGAGAAATGGAAGGGTGGCACGGCTCTCTGACGTTAGTTATCCCATCCTAGAGGAATATTGGTAAAGAAAGACAGTGCATCTTCTTTGAGTCATCAGTTTCACCTGCTTGAAACTAAACCAAATAGCAACATTATCATCAAGGCCCCTCTACTGTAGAGCAGGCGTGCCACTGTTAAGGAATTAACCCTACAATAAGAGGGAGAGCCCCAGCTTGACTTAAGCCAATTAATAATCCCCATCTGCCTCATTCTAATGATTGGTCTAGGGATGAGCACATGATGCTGATGGGGCCAGGGAGTTTTATTACTATGAAGAATTCAAAGGAGGAGTGTATGTAGTGCTTAAGGAAATGGGCTTTGGAGTCAGGCTGCCTAGGTGAGCAATCCCAGCTCACCAGCTGGTTGACCATGAAAAAGTTAATAAACTTCAATTTCCTCATCTGTAAAATGAAGATACAGTACACACTCCCTAGGGTGGTTGTAAAGATATTGGAGAGAATATAAAGCACAGAAGACATTAGCTACCACTGTTGCAATTCTAGTGAGAAAAGGAAAAATAAATTAACAGAGCACTATACGCGTATATCAGCAAACCAATGATTCACCAAGTGAAAATACACCATAAGCGCTTAAACCATGTGCCAAGTAGGATTTAGGGGAGGTACAGGAGTGAATCAAAACTGAGTCCTGCAGGGACTTGGGGAGATAAACTACGCATGAAATAGCTAATGTATTTCATACAGTGAGCCAGTATGGGTTCAGTGATCTGAATTCCCAGAAGAGAAACCACTTTGCTTAGATGATAGGAACAATTGATAGAAAATTTACGTAAGAAATTCTGCAAAAAGCAAATTCTTAAACATATAGTTTTAACTATAGTCATAATAATGACCATTCCCCCAAAGCAACACAAGAAATAACTCAAGGTGTTAGATTAATTCTTCTCCATCTAAATTTCACTGTCAATGAATGTTTAGGCCCTTGTTTCAAAAAACTCAAGTATAGATATACGCCTGGAGCAATGGTTCATCCCCATCTTCCAGCCCGTTTCTCTCCCTAAGTAATCTGGTTCTCTCAGAAGTAACCACCATTGCCTGTCTCCATTACCAACCCATTGGAAGCACAGACTTCATCATTTGTACGTACTTACAAAGACAAACATAGCTGACCTCAGAGACTTTCAGAAAAGACTGGGTCAGCTTAAGAACCCTGGGGTGGGGCACTTGGTTAATGTTTTTAAGAACTGACCTGTCATTTTATTCTCTGCAAGACTTTATGAGATTCAGTAATGATGTACATTTCCTCACTTATGTTCTGGCTTCAGAGTGAACTTAAAACATTTTTGAAAGCTGCAGGAGGCAAACTCGTGGTAGTGGAATTTTCAGCAAAATGGTGTGGTCCCTGCAAAAAGATATATCCCATTTTTCATGTAAGTATAACCAGTATCTGTCTCACAGTTGTAGAAAAAAATTTAAAGTCACAAAATATGTTTTCAAGGAATTCTTAAAAGTTAGGCACTGATGAGCTATTAAGGAGCTGTGGTTTTTCAAAGCATCCCGATTAACCTAAAGATAGAATATGAATTCTAATTAGATTAGATCTCACACAAAAGATTGATACTATTCGTCTATGGATACTTCTACAAGGAACACCAAGATGTATAGAAAGGTCCAACTGTACAAATAAGTAGATTATTTATTTTACATTAATGACATTTTACCAAAGTTCCGGATTTCAAAACTTCTAAACATTGGACTAGAATACAGATGAACCTGGTACTTGTTTTTAACTACAATATAAAAGAATGCACTTCCCCCAGTTTTTCAGCCTTATTATCAGAACAAACCAGATGTCTATTTATTAAAATTATCATTGATTATATTTTTCTATGCTTTACTGAGGTTTCACCGATACACAAAAACATCTGCATGTTTGATGTATACAATGAATGGCCACAGGCGTATCCCCATGATACCATCGCTGCAATCAAAACAACAACAAATTTATCACCTCCCAAAGTTTCCTTCTATACTTTTGCTTTTGTGGAGGGGGTGGGTGGGTGTTTGTGTGTGTGTGAGATAAGAACACTTACCATGAAATCTACTCTCTTGACAAATTTTCAAGCCCCAAACACCATCATGTTAATTATAAGCACTGTGTGTCACAATGGATCTCTAGAACTTATCTTGCATAGCTAGGACTTTATATTAAACAACTCCCTAATTACTCCTCTTCCTGTTCCCCGACAACCAACATCTTGTTGTTTGCTCCTTGAGCTATTAATATTTTAGATCCCTCATCTAAGTGGGATCAGGCAGTTTTTCTTCTCCCGTGCCTTATCTCACTCAGCAAAATGTCTTACAGGTACATCATGTTGTCGCAAACAGGCAAATCGTGACTTACCGTGTTCCTTCCCTGTCCTGGATCCACTGTGTAAAATATTCTACTTAGTTATACTCATGTATTTATTTATATCCAGATCTTCTTCCCACATACACACTAGTTCATGTTTTTATGGTCTCCAAACTTAACATTTTAACGCCCGTGCACTCTTTTATCTAGTTGATTTTTCTAACAACCCACTTAAAAGTTTTTATCATTTTTGGTCTAGCATGCTGCAGAAAGAATCTCAATGCACTTTCTTTTCATTTCTCCTTATCATGCATAAGTTTCACGTTTGTTTATGGTCCGTTCCAAATACAAAGAACTGAACTGTGGTACTTGTTGTAACTGAAAACACTCCAGTTTATTTTCTGTGATGTTCGAACATTTCAACTTTTTTGAATCTACCTGAATTCATTGTAACTGCGATCATAATCTCTGACATTTAATTAAAAATGACTTTATATTCAAATAGAGGAATTGGCTACATAATATGTCGACATCCCTTCTATGCCTAAGATTCTTGGAATGCCAGGGTATTCCAAGACAGGCCCCTCCATCTGACACTCAAAACTTTAGGAAAGAGGGTCTCCCTAACTTTGCCACAGAAATAGCCAGTGTTCAGTCGCAGTAGTATAAATGCTATATACTCATCTGCACAAAGTCAGAGCTGATAAAATTCCAATGGTCAATAAGAGACATTTTCATAAACTATAATGAGATATAAGTCCCGTAACCACCGCCTCTCTCCCACGTCCCCTTCCTGGGTGTGGGACAGCTCTGGGCAGCTGTACCCAGGCTCTGCACCTCCTCTTCCTTCCATTCTTACCTTAACAGGCAGAGTTAATCCTTTTGTCAATAAACATCCTCAAATTATGCTAATTGGATGGTGCCCTCTGTTTTCTGTAGGAATCCAGGTCGATGCAATCAGTTTTTAAATCTGATGCATCCATCAGATTTAAATATGAAATATTATTCAGATATTAAGAAGAATTCAGTAGACTCATGTAATGATGGAACTGTCTCCAGAACAATATATTATTGAGCAAAAAGAGCACAGCATAGAAAAAGAAAAATCCACATAGTACAGCCTTATTTATGTGAAATAGAGGCACACATATGTACCTATGAGAACATATGTGTGTATATAAACATATAGAAGATGTGTGCAAGCAAAGGGGGACAGAAGAATACATATCGAGCAAGTTTTTTCTGAGAAAGAGAGGGAAAATTGGGGGAGGATCATGAGAATTTCACATTTTCCTTTATTTTTTTTTTTGAAAGGTTTAAACTTCCACCAGAGATAGGATTCATGGATCATGTGCATAATTTTTTTTTAACTCGTAGTACATGAATGAGAGGTTGGAGAAAAGGCTTTACTTATTCCAGGTCACTGTTATCAGTCCGAGGTTAAAGCAGGAAACAGAAACCCAATGAAAAAGAAAAGGATTTTGATACAAGATATGCTTATAAAATCCTTGGGAGATGGATAAATGGGATCCAGACTAAAACTTCGTGAACCAGTCTTCGGAACACCACGGGCCCACCTACAGGGATCCTAACTTTGCTGTCATCAGAAGTGAGTGGAAATGGGAGGGCAACACTGGGAGGAAAAAAACCAACAGAGCAGCAGCTGGGGAGTCAGAACTAGGACCAGGGAGCTACTGTGGCCCCCAAGAGCCTCTGGACATCCAGGAAGTTGGCATCTGGACCCTGGAATCCCGAGTCTGGTGGCTGCTACCGCCTCTGGCACAACCAGCTCCCAATACCCACAGTCTTGCATCAGTAAAACCAAATTTGCATCTAGAACTCCAGCTGCAAGAGGGCCCAAGGAATCTTCACTTTTTTTCTTTCCAAGCTCTACAGGAAGGTAGAATGGAAATTGGTTAGCTAAACTATTATTCTTAGGAGGAGGAATAATTCAAGACATTTTCATATACTCAAAACCTAAAAGTTTACGTCCCACTAAGTCTCTCCAAAGAAACTGCTAAAGGATGTATTGCAAAATAAAAAAAAATTAAAAAATGAATCATAATTAAATATGGGTTTTAAAAAGTGATTGAAAATTTTAAGGGGTGAGGAATCTGTGGCCTTCTCATTTCAAGATTGTTCTTTTTTAAGTGGTGGCAAGAAAAACTTCACCTTTCTCTGTTGCTCCCCTTTTAATAAAAGCACTTGTTCTGTAAAATTTGGATTCAGTCGAAAGGCCACACTTAAGGACAGTAAAAGGCCACACTTGGCCATAGGCCCCACCCCCACAGCCCATGGTCTCTGCATGACTACTGGACTCTGCGTTGTAGTGCAAAAGCCAATGGCAACACAAAAACAAATTAAAACTTCATTTATAAGAACAGGTGAAGAACAGGATTTGTTCCACAGGGCACAGTTTGCTGACCCTGTGCTAAGGGGGTTAGTGGGCAAAGAATCCCGACAACAGCATTTCTGGAAAAAGAGAAAATTGTCAGCAAATTGCATGATGTGATCAGAGGAGGACAAGTAGTCTGTGAAGCTGACATACAATGGAAGTGGCAAAAAAGTGAGCCTCAGAAGGGAAGCTGAGGCCGGAGCAAGAAGGACTTTGTGTTACAACTTAATGCATTGCTGTGAGTGAAATTAGAACAAATTTAAGAAGGATTTTGTCATAATTAAGTGTGCATTTTAGAAAATATATTGGTGGTTGTAAGAGAATGATTTAGAAAGACTAAAGGCCCATAACCAAAGATGAGCCGCAGTCCCAATGATAGGTTTTCTGAAATTAGGACAGTGGTTTTAGAGAAAAAGGAAAGATTGAATTCAGGAGACATTTTAGAGTTGAGATCAACAGAAGCAATATGTAATTACATTTGGATTATATATGAGAAAGAATTGAACAGAAAGAAGAGTTACTATGGTGGTGGTGATTTGGGGGGTCCTTGGTGGATGAGAGTGGGTGGGAAAGGAGAGCAGTGTCCACAAGGGATCCCACGTAGCAAGGAGGTTGCATCTGTGCCACATGTTCAGGCTACTCCTTAATACAAAGATAACAAACACCGTGTCCCTGTGCATTTCCTGACAGACTTGGGAGGCCCTGAAAACTTCATAAGGAGAAGCTGATTCTGGAAATTAGGTGCCATCTGTATAGTCAAACCCGCCCCCATGATTCCTACTATGGACCATCCGTTTTTTTCAGGCTGGAAAAGAGCAATTCAGCTGCCCCAGAATTCTTGAGTGACGTCATTATCCTGCTGGACATGGAGATGCTATCGATCAAAACAAACATCGTAATCTGAAAATCACTCCAAACGCCAAAGAACTTTGTGTCTGTTATCCAAGAGTTTCCCCCCAATGTCACCATTCGGATGAACCACTAGAGAAAGAGGTCCCACTTTAGTCACGATCCACGGACCAAACAACTGAAGAGGATTTCCTACAGCAGACTCTGCACACGTCCTCCTAAGTGCTCCAGGCCGCGCTTCCTGCGTCTCCACGGGAGACTCCCTCAGTGACACTCCCAGCTGTTTTTGTCTCCTCTTAGCCAAGCCCAGATGCCTCACCCTACCCTCAGAGAGAGGTTCCATTTGAAATAGGCTGCTGGAAATGCTTGAGATATGATTTTAAGTAAACAAATGAAGATATTATCAAATGTCCTTACGGTATAAATGCAGCTATCTGAAACGAAACCCAGGGGCTGACACTTAACAAGCCACTGTTGCTACTGATAATGGTGCACACTCTTCCCCCAGAGCCATTACCAGTATCACTGTCACACCACCAAAGATGATTCCAAAGCCAAACAAAAGCAACGGGAATTACTGCTTCCCTCCTCCCACCGTCCATTTCCTGCAAATGCCTCCCGTTGGCAGGACCTAACTGGAAATCAGCTGGAAGAGAGTCTGGAAAATCTGATTTCAATATGTAGTAGGCACAGCGATGGCAACGGGGGCAGAAGGCAAAGGTCAGAAGCTCAAGGTCAGCAGGAAAGTGTTGATACCACCTCAAGCAGAAGCCACCTGCTACCAGCCGCCCCACCCCTTCCCGTAATGCCTGGCAAGAGGAGAAGGTAGATTTGGGGCATTTGATTCAGAGAACTGTAACTTGAAGCCTCTGAAGACTCCCCCACTTCCCTCCCAGGAAAAAGTGACTGTCCCCTCACCACCACCAGCACCACCACCCTGCCGGGTTAGTGTGGACCTCCCACATACATTCCTCATTTTGTTTTTTCTTTGTGTCCTTTTCCAAGGCTGAAACTCTCATCTTTAGTTTGGTTCCCGGTCTGTCACTGATTTGGGGCATCATCTGACCTGGGCATCATCTGGCATTGGACTTGGCTCTGCAAGTTCTAGGTGGCAGTGAAATGCCAGAATGATACTTAGCTCTTGCTAGGTGAAGAACATGATGAGGTTTTTATTTGGAAGGCGGGTTTTATTTCTCATAAAAGTTTGCAGCCTTTCGTGTGCCCCTTTGTAGGTGGCCGTTGCAACAGGCTGGGAAGCAGAGCCTCTGGCCAAAAGCCAGAAACACAAGGCGGCGGGGCAATGGGAACAGGAATTTTTGCGGGGGGGGGGGGCACGCAAATGTATGCATTTAACACGCCAAAGGAGGAATCCTGAATATTGATGAAGGAAAAAAAACCGTGCACATGCCCTGTCGATCTTCATGCAGAAAATGGCAGCTCCCTGTGCCAAAAGGCAAAGCAGAGGACGTGAGCACCGTCTCCGCACATCCTGCACGGGCTGGTGAAGACCACGCCAAGGCTGACAGTCCCTGATCTGGAAGGAATGCTGGTTAGCTGTAGTGCCAAACTTGGAAGTAGGGAGGAGTACATCAGGAGATGGCTTTCTGTTTAGCACTAAGGAAAAAAAGCAAGGGAGGAAGGATAATGAGGCCCGTGTGGTGACTTCCTACTGACTTATCCTGGAGTCCCCTTCCCGGCCAAGAGGGATACAGTGGGGGTGGGGGGGAGGGCTTAGGATTTTATTTTAGTTCACACTCTCCTTAACAGATTTTTGGTTTTTTCTTGTTTTTGCCAAAAGACATTTTGTGTGATGCACATTTTAATATTAACACTAAACTAACAGGTAATTTTTTCTTCTTTTATTTTGAAGGCGATGTCTCTGCAATACCAAAATGTAGTTTTTGCTAGTGTGGATGTGGACGATTCTCCGGTAAGAATCTTAAAACCCCTGTGTAGATCCTTCAAATCCAAATGCAGTGTAATTGAGTGGTATTGTCTCAGGGATTACATAATCAATTTAAAATCAAGTAGTATCATATAGAAGCTGGGCATGGTGGCTCACACCTATAATCCCAGCACTCCGGGAGGCCAAAGCAGGCGGATTTCCTGAGTTCAGGAGTTCCAGACCAGCCTGAGGAAGAGAGAGACCCTCATTTTATTTTTCTAAA